AACATGGAAGAGTTTCAGGTTATAGAATTTTCAAAGTGATTTTTTGCCATGAAGTGAAGGGGTGGTGCATGTTTCACTATAACTTTATCTGCAGGCAGGCATTTATATGTCAGTAAGTACAAACACCTACCAAGACTTGGTCTGTTTGTCTTTTTTCCCCTGTCTATCAGATCCAGAACCAGTTTGTGCACTTCTTTATTTGATATTTTAGGAGCAGATTTTCTGTCATGGGTGGTTCATTAAAAGGTCAGCAAACTTCAAAATTCCTGGGATTGAAGCCCCCAGTCCAGGTGAAGACTTTGACTTGGGGTCAGTTTGTAGCCACTTAGTAGGAATTCCTGGGGTGACGCGAGTGCAAGTGTCAGTGCCTTGTTCCTTTCCTTGTGTTGTATGCAGAGGAGAAACAATGAAATTACTTTTCCAAGTAGTCCAGTCTTTTTTTTTTTTACTATTTAACTGATAAAATGTTCTGCCTTTGGAATGTTTTTTTTACTTATAATTAATTATTTTTTATAATAAGTTGTAATAATTATAAGATAAAAAACAGATCAAACCAATGCTAAAATGCAATACTAAGATTTAAATTTTTTTTTTTTACAAAATTAGGTCTCTTTTTAGAATGGATTCTTTTTGAAGTCTGTTTTATCATCTAGATATGTAAAAGGTGTGTGTGCATGTGCCTATGGTAGAGATACCAGTGCTTGCTTCCTTTTGGCTACAACAAATTCTGGTTTTGAAATAGAGAAAGAGAAAAAAATATCTCACCTGTCACCTTTGTTTAACACCAAGAGAACACAAATAGCATCTAATAAAGTAATTTTGTCTGCGACTCCTCTATACCTCTAACTACCTCCTAAGATGTATTCTTTGGTGGGAAGTTAAAGAAAATGAAGTTTCATTTTTAGCTCCTGGTGGCCCCTGATTTGTTTGAGGTTCACTGAAAACAGGTTGACTCTTTGATATTTAGGGGTTCCTTTCTAGAGAAAATAAATGGAGAAACTTAACTTTGAGGCTAATGAAAAATACACTGATTATCTGATGATGAGAGTTTTCTTTTCAACTTATTTAATGGGTATTTCATTACATTGAGCATCCAAGCCAGATAAAAGTAACTGGACTTTAGGTGCCCACTGCACAAACTTCTGGGAGAGAAGATTAGTTGACCCTTTAATCTGTTTTTTGATTCTTTTTCACCTTTGAGTAGCAGTGAATGTATGAGACACAATTTCAATCTTTCGAGCTTATCTTGCTCGTTGAGCATGTCTGCAAATGAAATTATGATTTTCTCTTCTGTTTTTTTTTTTAATATTAGATTAATTATTTGATTTAACTTAGATTTAATTATCAATTTAAACTATTTGTGAGAGTGTGTGGTATTTTCATCTAAATCCATGTCATTTTATTCTTTTACACAAATTGATGTCTAATAATTCTGAAATTTCTGAAATTTTCTGTTTCTGTTTGAATTTTCTGACCTTACTTTCAAAAGAGACCATCAATGAAACAAATACAAAGACAATTTAGTAAGAGTAACTTTTCAGAGACACTCTCAAGGCCCATTAACACACACACACGCACACACATAATAGGCTGTCATCAAGAGGTATATATATATATATATCTTGATGCCACCCTATTATGCAAAACCTTCTAGTTAAGCAAAGTAAACCACAGGCGGCAAATGTAATCTAGCTGTTCTCTCTCTCCTGGTGACGACACACGATCAGTTTTAGAGAAAAATAGTAAATACAGCACAGGCCCATAGCCATCAATTTCAAGAGGGGGGGTTCTTTTTCTGAAAAAGTGCTCCTTTTCCCATAAAAACTTCATGCACCTAGATCAAATTTTACCCATAGGGGACATTTTCCCAGCAAAAGGAGTGATACTTTCAACCCCTCCCCCTCAACTCCCCCTGGATATGGAGCTGCAGCAGGTGCCTATGGCAAGCCCATCTTGGTCTGAGGAAATCAAAGCACTGATGTAACATGAAGGTTCGGACTAACTTGAATGTGAATACACCTTAATTGGGCAAAAGTTTCCACTTTAAAATCATTATATGCTTTGAAAGATAATATAATCTTATTAATCAATCAGGTAAGTACATAGTGAATAATAGTATTTGGTAAAATTGCTCGGTCTGGTTGAGAAAACTAAATCACAAATCCTGAAGCTCATCTTGTAGTTTTTCATCAAATAAATGGAAATTTGCTTTAGTTATTATTTTTTTCATTTTCTTTAACCACTGTAAATTATCTTTAGCCTTTGGCAAGAATTTGATATGCTAGCATTAGGCTAGGCTTGTCCCTCTTCTCTCTCTCTGTCCCC